CGAAAGTAATAAAACTAATTACCTGACACGTTAGTTTTTTTCTTATCAAGGCATATATCAATCTTCCAAATGCTGTTTGCTATTTGAATACGCAAAAAAATGTCAATAAGAAACGTCAGTGCATTTCTAGTTGAGTAAATATGAAAAATAAAATCAGCCATGTCATTTGTTTCTTCGCTTCGACATCTCATGGAGCGGATCAACAGGCACCTCAACGTTCGAAAAAATCGAGAAGCAGTGTTCCAAAATCGAGGCATTTTTTCGGAAAAAAGTTTTCTTTTAAATTCAGTAGCATCAAAACTTACTGCCATAAACTCATAAACAATGTTTGTTTTCTACATGCTAATGGCAGACTATTAAAAATTACATAATATATATTCATTGTTTTCTTGTGCAAGTTAGTCTTGATAGAAATGTTGAAAAGCAAGCCCATTTATATAATAGAAACTTTTCATCGTAGTGTCTGCGATTGAAAGGATGCTCTTTTGCCTGAGGGAAGCTGAATCTCAAATGGTTTGACTTACCTGAACAAAACGATTGAGCGAAAACAAGATTTACTTTTTCTTTTGGTCATGGCGGGGTACATGACAGATACATATATTCCAGAGTTGGAACTGCATCGAACCGACTGATCAATTTGTTTACGGGACCGACCTGGTTGAATATTTCAACCACCCAGTTTATAAGACCAATTCTTTTTTAAATAAAATTAGTTTGTTTAAAAAGTTTCTTTTACTAAACGAAGATTTCTTTTCTGAAAATAGAAAGAATAATTGTATCTTTTAGTATTAAAGCAGACTTGTGTTGTAAATCTCTTTTAAATATATTAGTGAGAGGTAGCGATGATATTAAACATTGTTATTATTCAGTTGGCCGTGAAGAATGGGCCGAATCAACACCAGATAGAGCTTTTCTTGGCTAATGCTATTAGCGATTTGTATGCAATATTATAAGACTTGGCTCTTGATTATCGTCAACGTCCATAGTCCAGACCAATTTACCTGGACTGATGTTTTACTCATTTCGTCAAAAATAAAGCTTTTTGTTCCTGTATCTGCGATTTTCAAATCAAAATTTATGATCATGTCGAGTGTAGTTATATAATGTGTTTTTATACTAAGCATGAATTCAGACTACTCATATGTAGATTGGACGGTATTTCGAATAAACTAAAAACTAACAATAAATTCAATTTAATACGTTTTTGAATTTACTTGAATTTAACTGAACTTAGCTGAATTTAAGGGAATTGCGTCATCGGTAAATTTCATTGTTCTAGTGTTTGACGCGCATATCCACTGTAGCAGCTTTTAAGCAGGATTTTAGTATTTTCATAATCGTGGTAAAATACATATAATTGATAGACTACAATTAACGTCAAAATTCACGGCACTCGGTTGTTTTTCGAATAACTCCAGAATGTTAAAAGATAGGGACTTGCAATTTTCAACAATCGAAAGAAGACACTTTAGGCTATGTTTTCACAAGCAAAATCCTTTTGTCCAACCATTCGGAAGACCGGTTCTCTTGGATATCTTTGGAAAATCACTTCAGATCTTCGGAAACTGAGATAGAAATCTATCAGTTTTTAGTCAATACGATTTTTTACTTCAGAATAGTAAAAAGAATTTTTGTACTTCGGTAGATTTCTAGAAAACCGTTTCAAAATCAAAGTATTTTCTGTTAATTTTAAAGGTTTTATTAAACTGCATAGTATTAAGCAGGTAAAATAGAGTACATCTTGATATTTTGACGTAATTTGGATGGATGTCGACTGGATTATCAATGTTTTAATTATACTGTAAAATAGGGAAATATGGGCTATTTCACCTAGTATAGGTTTCCACGAGGATTTCGAAGTTGTTTGAAAAACAAATACTGCCACAAGATTCAGCATGGTCGATTACCTATGTTTCCATTTATTTTCGGAATTATCACACCTAAGGAGATATTGATCTTGGGACTCTCAGGATAATCCGACACCGCGCGTGAACCAGAAAAAATTAAGAGTTAGTTTAGTTTCGATCTGGAGAGAACACTTTGTACTATCAATCTATAAAAAAACTGATAGATTTCTATCTCAGTTTCCGAAGATTCGAAGTGATTTTCCAAAGATATCCTAGAGAACCGGTCTTTTTTTCAGGACAAAAGGATTTTGCTTATGAAAACATAGCTAAAGTGTCTTCTTTCGATTGTTGAAAATTGCAAATTCCTATCTTTTAATATTTTGAAGTTATTCGGAAAACAATCGAGTGCTCTGAATAGTTGAAAGGAAAGAGAAATCTAAATGTTGCTAGACGAATGTTCTTCATAGTATTGACTGTTTAGTGCCCACATCGTTATCATGGTAGTTTCCGGAGGCTAACTAGCATCTCTCTCTGACTCTCGTTCAATTTAACTAAAGTTTCCTTGCGTTTTAGGAATATACGTTTATCTGCGTGAATATGAATGAATTTGAATGGATTTCCGTGAACTAGAATGAATTTTGAATTTGTTTGAATTTAACGGACTAAATTCAACTGTTTCCGCCTTAATATTTGTTCTCCTTCTTGATGTATTTTATTTTATTGGCGTGCCTACAATGGCAACTCAGCTGTCGATTGCATACTTCTTTTTTTTTTAGAAATTTCAAATAAAGTTGAAATTCAACAACCTCTTGCGCTAATTGTGGAAAATTTGTAAGTTGAGCTCATTCCAAGGTTGTATATAATTTTGCTTTCTTGGAGAAATGAAAAGCTTCTCATTAATTTGTGATTTTCGGAAACATAATGCCTGCATATGTAGCTGTCGGATTTTATATGACATAATCAAAATTCTAAAAATGGCGACTGTTTCTAATTAGGCATGAAAACCTTTCTGGGAATTACTAAAGCCTGTGTCATAATCTATGCTAGCTTCAAATGAAAGATCGTATCGTTGTACTGAAATTCGCCGAAAACTGTTCCGTATTACCATTTTATACTTCAAGTATGAATTATAGATGAAAGACTCTGTAGCAGCTCTAGTTGTTCCTTGTCTAAGAATCAACGGGGAATGACGTTTTGCTCCTTATGATCAGATTAGACTAGGAGTGTTAATTTAGTTTTACTGTTCATTTATAATAATGGATAAAAATAAATGAATCATTTATACTTAAAAAGTAAAGATAAATTCGTCATTTATATTTAAAAAATAAATATAAATAAATAAAAAGAATTCATCATTATTTTATAAAAGTAAATGCTTCATTTACATTTATTTTCCCAAGTAACACTAAATTAACACCCCTATATTAGACAAACACCTTAATGTCGTTAAAATTTGTCATCATTATTGTATCATTGTAATTTATTGTGTATAAATATTTGTTTAATATAGCACGTAGGCTTTTTCTCATTCTATAGAAATGACGTTCGTCGTTGAAGATAAAAGATAAACATCTGCTGACTGCGTATACGCTTCTTCGGACCTCATGTGACTTAATTGAAATATATTGTAACTACCGTTCGAATGCATTCTAATTATACAAATAATCAGACTGATGATATTATTTATAGGTTACAGTTTATGACACGACTAATTTCGCGGTATGTGTCAATACCAATCCTAATATCTGGTCTACTAGGAAATCTGTTTAATGTCATGGTATTTACAAGAAAATGCTTACGTTCAAACTCATGTTGTCTATATTTTTTATCATCATCGATAACAAATTTGTTTGCTTTAACAATGGGCTTTCTTACTCGCATACTAGAATCGGGTTTCGATGTGAGACCAGTTGATCATAATCGAAGAATTTGTAAAATACGAAATTATCTTGCACATGTAGCTGTTTATCAATCGTCTCTTTTCATCACCATGGCATGTATTGATCGTTGTGCAGCTACATGTACAAATGTTAAATATCGAAAATTTTATGAATCGGTTGTTGCTTATCGTGTCTTACCCGTGTCCATTCTATTTTGTTTTCTAATACTTAGTCATATTCCAATATGGTTCGAAACTGAATATGTATTAAGTGAATTTAATGTCAAAGTTATGCGATGTTATGCAAGAAAAGGTACATATCGTTTAGTATTCAATACATTTTTTTTAATATTTTATAGTATTATTCCGTTAACATTGATGAGTGTATTTGGCCTAATAACTGTCCGTAATATTCGACACAAATTATTGTGTTGCCAAACACAAAAGAGTAGATATCTAAGAAAAAAAGATCATCAATTAATAACAATGATGCTAATGCAAATACTACTGTTTATTATTTTGACATTTCCATTTGCAATAGAAAAATTTTATTCAATATTAACCGAAAATAATGTAAAATCAAGCCTGACAATTGCGTGGGACAACTTTGTAAAATCTGTAATACTCTTGTTGTTATATACTAATTACAGCGATAGCTTCTATCTGTACACACTATCCGCAACTGTGTTTAGGAAAGAGTTTTTAGCAATATTCCAGAAAAAGTTCAAAGAGACAACAATTGATTAAATCATATCGACCAGATCGACTTATATTTTTTGACGACTTATATTTTCGACTTATATTTTTTGACTTATATTGAGTAAATATTGAACGAAAGTAAATTGCTACATAAACAACCATTGTCCATGTCCAAAAAATCCGTGGGTAGGACTATTTCTTGAATAACTCGAGAACAAAAAGCGATAGAGACCTGCAATTTTCAGCAATCCAAAGAGGACAGCTTAGCCTATATTTTCATAAGCAAAAGCATGTTTTGAGAAAATTTCTGAAGCAACTTTCTTAGAGGATCTCTGGAAAACCAGTTTATAAGTCAAAAGTTTTACATAGCAATCTGTCTTGTTTGTTACATAGATGAATACCGCAAAGTGTCCTTGACAAAATAACGTCTAAGCAAAGGTTTCATTTTGCTTAATTGGGGGAGCTTCGGACGTTTTGCTTGAATCACTAAGACTTCTCTATTTTTCGCTATGGGACTTTAAAACATGCATGAAAACACAGATTATCGCAACGCTGAATTTCATGGCAATGTTAGTTTTCAGAACAAAATGCAAGAACCAAGTGACAATTTATACTAGGTGTAGATCAATGACTTTTCATTCGGGAAAATATTACCAATATCATAATCCACTCTATTTCTGATAGCGAAAATATAATTAAATGTAAATTACAAACTTGTCTCGTCTTGCTCAACAGTACTGTGCAGCCATTATAGTTCAGCAGTTGCCAAAAGACAGTTCAGTATGATGAATCAGTTGATTACTCAACGACGATCAGTTCTTGATTCTACTACACTCTATCTTTCATCCAATTCTTTCACTGAAATTCCTTCTGTGGTAATGAAAGCAAAAACTTAGAACTACTGACTATGGTTACCAATTACATTAATGGCTACACAGTACTGTTGAACAAGCCGAGACAAGTTTGGAACTTACGTTTGATTATATTTTCACTATCAGAAATAGAGTGGATTATGATATTAGTAACATTGTCCCTAATGAAAAATCATTGATCTAAATTTTACAGAACGTCAAGCAAAAACGTTCTTTGATTCTCAATGCGTCCGAACTACTCATATTCGTATAGCATATCGAGATAAAAAATTTCCAGCTATATTACGGATGACGCTATTTCGCAAATATCTCGATAACAGTTGACGAACACTGAAAAGTTGAGCATTCATTAATAGCACCTAATAGATGATTAGAATTTGTTGCTTTTACTGCATTCATTGCATCAATCAACTTTCATGTAAACGAATTAAACCTCTAGCTGTCGTAGAACTCACGATTGAGAGCTTAGCTATAGGTTAAGAAACCTTTTTTGAGGTATGTCAATTGGATTGATCAGGTGGTGCCAGTAATAGAAACTAGATCTAACCTAGCAACGCTGTTATCAATAAGAGAAGCTGGCAAAGTTAACTATTAATACTTTCTATACAGCTGATTCATGTTTGCATCGGCCATTTTAGTCCTTGTGTTCAGTTTTCTGCCGATTTTCTTCCTAATGTAGCACAGAAGATGCTCATTCAGACGTTGCCTGGACTCAAATACCAACCTCAAGCTTAGACTCAATCATAATTTTATGCCTGTTTTAGTGCTACCATAGTATTTCGCCACAAAAGCCTAAACTACGAAGTTTAAGGTAAAAGTTGCTTATTATCAGTTGTTAAGAGAAAACAGTTATTTTTTAAAGTTTCTGAAAAATCCGTATTTGAGAAAAACCGCGTGTTCACGAATCAAGAAAGGCATGTACACAGGGATATGAACATTTGATGGTCGACTCGGTCGGACAAGCCGCTTGTCCTGTTGCAAGAATCAAAGCTAGTGTCTTTGCAATAAGTGCTGTTTGAAAACAAATCCGTAGATTTCTATCTCCTTCTTTTCTTTCAGAGAACCGAACTGTTGTTCCACAGATCTCTCGAAAAACCGCTCTTTGAAATTTTTCCAAACTCGTTTTTGCTTATGAAAACATAACTTCAGATCTTGACTAGCGAATGATGAAAACTGCAAGTCTGTATCCTTTGTTCTTCTTGAGTTATCCAAAAAATAACCACCAGCCTTGTATTTTAGCGCCGATAATAGTGCAACAAACATTAAAAAAGAAAGAAAAACGAACGGAATATTCACATAGCAGAGATTAACACTCCTGAAGACTGTTGACAAAGAAGAGAAAACCAAACTAACTTTCTTAATTTGGACTGTCCGCGGACTGTCAATTTTTGACGTATTTTAAGAACATCATTCTCCACCACATCATCTGCTCTAAAAAAATGTTTTTCCAGACTACGAGAAAGAGCACATTCAAAAGTACCAAAGAAACTGCGTTCTTGCTACACTTTTTTAAGGAAATAATAGCAGAAGAAAAACGTTCATGCCGAAAAAAATACCAAATTAGAAAGCTTTCATTTTCTTCGTCTTTCGTATAATTCTTCGTAAGTTTTCTTGACTGAAGTTCTGAAATTAAAGTTTAAGCCTGGTTTTGTAGAGTATGTAGCGGCGTATCTTTTAAAAAAACACTAACCTAAGGGTCCTAAAGACATACGAGAAAAATATATATTTTTGTTGGACCTTCACCATTTTCAGGTTTAGAAAGTACGAGTTTTTGAAGATCATTGCTTTTCATTTAATAAAAAATATATCTGGAATAAATATCACAACATTTATATATCATTTTGTAGAGACTGTGACAACGCATCTTTTCGAAAAACAATCAGGTCTAGGGATGGAAAAGGAAAAAAGTTATAAGTAAAATACTAAGTATGCCATTCATCATGCGCCATCCGGTCGATCTCTCTTTAGTGTTATTTTCAAACCATGCTCGAATGTCTACTCGTATGTCCCGAACTTTCACTTTTTATCAGGGGATCAGGTATTAAAGACTCTATTGAACTAAACTTTGATTTTTTTACCACAAGGATAGATTCTGTGTAAGATATGTTTTATTTAAAAAAGTTTTACTCAGCATCTATATTCTTAAAAGCCTTTATAAAAGCTGCAGAGGAGTAAAATCGTTTTATGCTGTCAAATAAAATCTAATAGGGTAGAAAATGGTGCGACAATCATATTTCGTTGACTAGCACCAAATAACTATTTGAAAGAAAAATCCTGATTTAAGATCCGTTTTGGAAAAACTACTTGTTTTCTAGCTCTAAAAAAATGGCTTTTGAACTGACGATGTTTTAAAAACTGAGAAAGGAAGAATGCTAAACTTACCAAGTCTCAACCAAATATGTATCGGCATATGGTTTCCATGGCTTGATGTTTTAGCGATCTCTGGATACTTGATTGCATAAGGAACACCTTCCAAGGCTGCTTCCATCAACGGAAAATCGTTGCATGTATGAGATAATGTAATATACCCGGATGATCGAGATTCTGTAGTAACGTTTGTTTCAAAATACTTCTCGCTGTCAAAAGCGAAGGTGTTTCAAGTTGGGCTGCCGATGGCGAAGAAGTAGCCACGTTTATTAACGCTAAATCATATCAGATCGTTGCTTCAGTGTCGTTTGGGTATTTTAAAGTCATATTTTCCATGGCTGACAAAAATGCTTGTTCACCTTCGTTAGTTGAATCATAACGGAACCATTCATAAATGCCGTTTAGATAATCTAGGTCGTGCTCACTCAAGGTCAAGTTATACTCGACGACGGCCAGTTGTGTTTGATTCCATTGGGATCGTACTGAAAGGATATTCCAGCTTGCGCGAAAGAGTCAGAAGAAGGGGTAGTTTGGAGTGTGCTTTTTTTGCTCCATGATTCTGAAAACTACTACTAACTAGATATTATTTCTATGACTACGTCAAGCCTAGCATACAGTAACTCTACTAGATGGCTGCTGCAATAAATTTTCAAAAATAGCTTTACTGTAGAAAATGCAAATACTATATAAATTTCGATGGGCTTAAAAGATATTTGCTCCTGCTATTCTGTAATACAGCCGTTAGATGCAAATTTTTTAATACTCCAGTCTACACATTTGAGTTTCACGTTTTCTTGTGGATCTATACTGACAAAGTTTTATGTTGTGTTCGTTGCTTGGTTCACAATTATAACCGTTTCCACACTGTATTTACTGCTTACTATTGTGTACAAAGAGAATATTACAGAAAATCGATGTAAAATTTCAACGTTCAACGAAAATAAATACAACTTGCAGAAAAAGATTATTTGTCCCAAATGCCGAATGATAGTTTAATACTTGAGAGAAACGTGAGAGGAGTTTTTCTCCTTGACTATCTTGCTTTTTTTCTAAAAAAACGGTTCAAGACCGACTGTCGGTGCGGTCTCACCACTAGTATCCCCAATCCGGATAAAATCTCGAGCGGACTATACTATACATCTCGATTAGGCAGTAAATCCTGAGGGATATTCTGCATAGCCTGTTCAATTTATAAAAAAAATGACCGGCACCATAAAAAACTTGACGTTTGGACGGACATGTCGGTCTGTTCTGAAAAGGAGTTTATATACAAATTTCCTGCAAAGGACACTAGTACACAATGCTTCTTTATGTTCACAATACTTTCAAATAAATTTTCCCAGTATAGCTAAAAAGGTATGCCGAAACATAGCCTGCAAAGAAAGAACTACAGACTTACATATATGTTACAGGTCAATTCCAGGTTGACCTAGGTCATTTTGGAATTCTAAGTTGACCTAGGCCAACTTAGAATTGACGCGCCTGCATCTTTCGATTCTAATATAGACTGGGTCAATTCCAGATTGACCTAGTTTAATTTAGAATTCTAAGTTAGCCTAGGTCAGTTTAGAATTAAACTAGGATATATTGGAATTGTTCAATAAAACATAGATTTTTCAATAATAATAGTAAAACATGAATATCGATGTATTCAGTTTTGGCCAATGTTAAATACCTGAGACAATTTGTGTAACAATAAATAATTAGAACAGAGCATCCGTGCTAAAAAGATTCTAGTTAATAATATATCGTCAACAAAATCTACGTTATTCGAGTGTTTTCGACATACGACTAGGCGAACTAAAGACT